TATTGCATAATATATATATATATATATATATATATATATATATATATATATATATATATATATATATATATATATATATATATATATATATATATATGTGTGTGTGTGTGTGTGTGTGTGTGTGTGTGTGTGTGTGTGTGTGTGTGTGTGTGTGTGTGTGTGTGTGTGTGTGTGTGTGTGTGTGTGTGTGTGTGTGTATGTAGGAGGTCAACGCCCCCGCGGCCTGGTCCATGACCAGGCCTCGATGTGAATTAGGCCTGATCAGCTAGGGTTTTACTGCTGGCCGCACGCAAACCGACTTACGAACCACAGCCCGGTTGGTCATGAACTGACTTTAGGTGTCTGTCCAGCTCCCTTTTGAAGACCGTCAGGGGTTTATTGGTAATTCCCCTTATGCTGAGAGACAGTTGAACAGTCTTAGACCCCTGACACTTATTGTGTTTTCTCGTAGCGTACTCATGGCGACCCTGCTTTTTCCTTCGTTGGAGTGATTTCCTAGTGCAGGTTTGAGACTAGACCCTTTAGGATTTTCCAGGTGTATATTATCATGTATCTTTCTCGCCTGCGTTCCAAGGAGTACAGATCAAGGGACTTCAACCGTTCCCAGTAATCCAGATGTTTTATTGTACTTATACGTGCAGTAAAAGTTTTTTGCATGTTCTCCAGACAGAATAAAGAGGAAAAGAAGGAAGGTGGAAGAGCTAGAAGAAAAGGTGGAAGAGGAATAAAGTGGTAAAGCTCTTCTCGAGCTACACTTCTCGAGCTACACTTCTTGAGCTACACTTCTCGAGCTACACTTCTCGAGCTACACTTCTCGAGCTACACTTCTCGAGCTACACTTCTCGAGCTACACTTGAGCTACACTTGAGCTACACTTCTCGAGCTACACTTGAGCTACACTTCTCGAGCTACACTTCTTAAGCTACCCTACGCACCATTATAATGAAGTCTTAAGTAATAATAAAATCTTACGTAATAATGTCTTACGTTATAATTAAGTCCTATGCACCCGACAAGGGAGGTTCCTTGAAATCAGAGAAGGGCTCTTGATCCAAACTCGATCTGACTTCCCCTTCCCGTGGGTCGAACTTGATGACATATTCCCTCAGGCGCCGTAGTGCCCCTAATCTGTTTAGCGCTCCTCCATACATGTAATAATAATAATAATAATAATAATAATAATAATAATAATAATAATAATAATAAGACTATGTTCCTCTCTAGGGAGAGTTTTTATTTCCAGGAGCAAATAAAAGCTTCATTACATCGTTGTGTCTCTGTCCCATCACCTGGTGGCATAGTGCCCATCGTACCACAAAACAATATGCATAATACGATAGTTAAACGAGACTTTCGGGAAATATAAAACAGCCGGTCCATGCTGGTACGCAGTTAAGGAATCATTGACATTCTGATCTGGAGATGGTGTACCCGTGTATCTGTGCTCCCCCTGGCAGGTACCTGCTGTAAACTTCTGGTATTGGGAACAAGTGTTCGAGGGGACACGAGGGAAGAATGTTGGATCAAAAGGTGAAGAAAGACAAGGGAAGGATGAGGGAGGGAATTAAGAGTAAATAATATTGGAAGGGGTGAGAGGAGAGGAAGGGATACATCGGGTAGTCATGGCTTCCTCATCCAGGTCATACCACTTCCTCACGGCAACTGAAAACGCGTTTTTCACCTTCCTGTAGCTCATTCATTTCTCTCGCTAACGACTATATCATGATGCTCCTGAATCTCGCCTTCCAACGGGCCTGCCCCTGTACGTGCTCCCAAATTTTCCCAAGTATCATGTAAGTCTTGATAAAATCTCCCTAGTCTTTCTCGTCTTTAACGTTGTTAAACGTTCGAGTAATTCTTTTTAATCTCACTTCATATGTTGCAGACCCACAAGTATAATTGTATATATGGCGCTAAAGGACTCTTTTCTTTGATCTCTGATGTCAGTTCAAAGGTTCGTTACTCTCACTGCGTTCGTGATGTCGACGTTATTATGTTGACATGCGCTTCAGGTGATATGCTCGATAAATATTCACTCATCGAGAATTGTGGTCTCATTCCGTACATGCTGCATTTCTTTGCTGATTTTCTGTTTTCCTCTCACAGTTTAGTAACTTTATCTTTGATACATATGAAATCGAGAAGCTGTTTATTTGACAACTCCAATATGTCCAATTCACTCTGCAATTTATCCGTGTCGTCTCTACAGCATTATGTAAAATGTACTCACTTCATGGAAGGCCACTGATGGCCCCAGCCACCAGTGGCCATCCTGCAGGTCGCAGATGAGTCTCGCAGAATCAGATCAAAGTGTCGTGTCGGGGACAACGCAGTTTATCCAACCAGAAGATAAGTAACGCTCTCCGCCACGCGGATTATGGTACTCGGCTTTAACCTTCTGACAGCTGCGTGCCGAAGTAGTCACTGCAGCATGTAGGGAGCGAGGATTTCTTCTTAGAAAAAGCTATTACCAAATGGGAATTCGAGGCTACAAGATTTTACCAGGCATGCATTGGGGAGCAGTGTACGTGGCGTGCATCAAGAGAGGCGTGTAAGTGGCGTGCATCAAGAGAGGCGTGTAAATGGCTTGCATCAAGAGGCGTGTAAGTGGCGTGCGTCAAGAAAGGTGTGTAAGTGGCGTGCATCAAGAGAGGCGTGTAGGTGGCGTGCACCAGGGGAATCTTGTGAAAGATCTTATTACTACAGTTTTATCTCCTAGGCGTAAAATAACCTATTTTTACAACCATAATAAAGATCATCTGATTTATACGTCTTATTACCCTCCTTGTACCTCTTCGGGAGATATTTCAGCGTTAACTGGTTTAGAACCGAAACGTTTTCTAATAAATATATCTTAGAGTTTGCTCATATGTCCTTCTAAACCAGTTTGTCGGTATCTATTAGCAAGGGTTATACCATGCTAAGTATAATAAAACAAATCTTCTCTCACTACAATAAAACACATCTTCCGACACTAATAAAAAAAATACAAATAAATTTCCTCATTTCTAATCAGCTGTTCTGTTCTTTACGACAATAAATCAGAAGGTTTGTTATTCTCGCTCCTGACGTAGGCTGTTGTTTTCGTTATACTTTATAATGTGCTACATTATTCACAACATGTTCTCACTCATTATAAAACGTGAGAGTGGGTTTTCGATGCCGACGAGGAGCTTTTGATCTAAGGACTTGGACGTGTTCCTCCCCTCGTTAGGGCGAACCTAAAAAAGACAAGAAGTATGCTCAAAGAGAGGATAAGTTCAATTCTTTGCAGTAAGAGCCCCTCACCAGCGTCAAGGGGACAAACTCCGTGGTCTTGTCGATGCCAAATTCGTCAGAAACACTGTCCAGACACGGGTCTTAGTCAAATTATGACCAGTTACTGGCTGCCGTACTAGTAAGTGATCGTAATCGCAATCTGGTGATTGACATGCGTTTGCCTGCGGGGAAATCACACACGAGTGCATCTGCCAAGTGCGTGTCTGTCAAAGATATTCTTCGAGAGTATACCTGGCGTATATCAGGTGTGTAGAAGATGTGACAAGAACGTGGGAACGTCAGGTGACCTTTGACCCCCACTGACGTATACAGTGAACCGCACCCTTCCTTCGCCTGGTCAGCCCTGGAAAGCCTTGCAGTCCTCTTTTTTGTGTGCCGGTTAATTATGTGTTTACCACACGACGTGGAGACCTGTGTTAGTAGGAGTAGTTATTACATCCTATACACAATGACCCACCCTACTCTCCCTTCTTATCCACAGTCACTCTTTAGATGGTGTTCTACAGTTTTGATATACTCTGTGCGGTCGGCTCCAAATAGCGTAGTGTCGACAGTGGTATATCTCGCTCTGTGTAGAGGTTTAACAAGTCATTTATAGTATCCTAACTGTGGTATGCTTGTCATAAAAAAAACACTTTGATGGGACATCAAGATGACCCTTTCAGCGATGCCGTCACTCGGACCACTGTGTTTAGCATTAGTAAGCCAGTGACACCTGCAGCCATCGGCCACCCCACCTTCGCGTACTCTTATACAAACCGTCTTGCCATATTCCCCATACCTTCTCTCATACAGCGCCGGCACCACTCAGCGGTTCATCCGTGCTGTCTTAAGACATACGTGGGTGGCTAATGACCTTATGGAGGACCAAGGCAACACGCTGACTTACCTGTGCTAGACTCAGTGGTCTGAGCAAACACGAACTTGTATACAAACTGTTTAGGGAGGCTCGCGTGACAAACATGATGCCGACCACCCCAGCGACCTTTCCGTTGCTATAATTATACTCGCATATATCGTATATACTGAGCATCACACCTATCGGTGGGTGTACACCGAGAAACCTAAAACCACAGACAGTTTTTTCTATCTGATTTAACTGTATCTGAACTGCTTTTAGCTCTTGTTTTGTGACTCCTCTCGTGCCTCGCTTTCTTTGAAATTAAATTTCTTAATATTATTCCAGTAACTTAACACATCTAATTAAACACTCAAAGGGAAACACGTACATTTTTTCACATGTAATCCTAGAACGCACATAGGAAATTGCCAGTGGTTCGGGTGGTCATGTGAAGACCAACCAACCCTACAAAAATGGCGCAGCCAGCTGTTGATCAATACCACTTGTTCGTGGTTACAATAATATATAAATGCTGCTCGTGAGGCTAGTACACCAAACAGGGATGAGAATGAAATTAGCTTAGAAGCTCCCACACCTCCGTATGCCCTCTGATGGCGGTCCAACAGCTAGCTGTGTGCTGGCTGCACCATTCTTGTAGGGTTGGGTGGTCCTGTGGTTTAAAGCGTCATATGATTCTCGCTTACCATGAGGCAGGCCAGTACAACATGGGTTCGAATCCTTGGCTAGCGCAGTGTTGTTATTGTATATATATATATATATATATATATATATTATATATATATATATATATATAAAATATATATATATATATAAGAAAGATACACACTTCTAGTTGAATATACACTAAAAAAACACATACCTCTCGGTGCATATAAACTGAAAGATCTAAGCAGCTCTCAGTGTAATATACCTTGTTTTGCCCGTGTGCTCCTTCCAGAGCAGAATATGCTACTTGATCTCAAGAGAACTCCAGGAATCACGAGAGCGTGGTATCCTTCCCACCACCAGAATATGTCTTCTCTACTACCTCTGTGGTGAGACAACGCTGCTCTTTATATACCCCTTTACGGAGATCCAAGTTATTGTCGTCGTTGTTGTTGTTGCACGACCAGTTACACGACACCAGGCACACCTCAGTGGGAACTTCGTGGAGGGGAGGAGCTGGGAAGGCAAGAGGATGGGCTTTACTGGTGTTGGGGAGGAGCATTCGGTAAGATTCGTGTTGAAAATTTACGGGGGCAGCTAGTGATAGCCAGATTGTTGGTGTTTTGGGAAATTATTAGTGCTGGGGAGATGTTTAGTGTTCGGGAGGAGTTACTAGTTTTGGGGAGGATTTTTACTGTTGTTGGGAAGTGGTTTACTGCTTTTGGGAGGGAGTTTGCTCCTGTTGGAGAGGAGTTTACTGCTATTGGGACGTGGTTTACTGCTGTTGAAAAGGAGTTTGCTGCTATTGGGAAGGAGTTTACTGCTGTTGAGAAGTTTAATGCTGTTGGGAAAGAGTTTACTGCTGTTGGGAAGGGGTTTATTGCTGCAGATAATGCTGAGTGAAGGGAAGGGAGGTAAATGTGATAAGCATAGATGGGTATCAACAGTAATGGAGGAGCAGATACCGTGATTGAGGACCACTGGCTACAGTAGTAGGATATAAGCTGTAGTGTAGCGGTGGAGGCCGTAATGTCAGAGTGGAGGCTGTGATGTTGGAATGAAAGTTGTAATGTTGGAGTGGAAATTGTAATGGAGAAGGGGAGCTGTAATGGGCAAGGAAGGTCGTAATGTCGGAGTACAGGTCGTGTAGACTACAAAGTCACCTTCCGTGGCTGGAACAATGAACCAGAAACTTGCTCTTAAGAAAGGAGACTTATGACGACGCAGTCACGACTGACCATTGTCACGTTACGACTGACCATTGTCAAGTCACGACTGACCATTGTCAAGTCACGACTGACCATTGTCAAGTCACGACTGACCATTGTCAAGTCACGACTGACCATTGTCAAGTCACGACTGACCATTGTCAGGCCATGACTGACCATTGTCAGGCCATGACTGACCATTGTCAAGTCGTAAAAGAATGGAAATATAAGGAGGAAAAGAACAAGCTTAATGCATTATTCTTAATAACCAAATTATTAAAGTCTCGTGAGAAACGCAAAACCCATTAGGGTGGTACAGCTCCTTTAAGAGGTTGGTGGATAATTAGGCCTTGATCCGAGGATGGAAAGTGCAGCTAAAGTTCCTTGGATCAAGAGCCATTAACCAGTATCAAGGTGCTCCTCTTGAAGGGAAGGAAAGTAATTATCAAGAGTACTTAAAACCTTGAAATACCGGGCTCTTGATCCGAAGAACTGGAGGTAATACCACTTGAATCAGATCTATTATTATTATTATTATTATTATTATTATTATTATTATTATTATTATTATTATTATTATTATTGCTGTTATTATTATCACTTACATCATTATTATTAATATTTTTATTATTATTATTATTATTATTATTATTATTATTATTATTATTATTATTATTATTATTATTATTATTATCATCATCATTATTATTATTAATATTTTTAATCATTAACACACCCATGGACATATAAAGAGAGAATCAGCACATGGGGTTAGAAGGCTTAGAAGGCGATTAGAAACTAGGTCGAGGATATCGTCAATCTTGGAGTGACGGAGGCGGTCGCCCAGATACTGACACGACGCCTTGGGCGAGTGAATATATGCAAGAATGGGGTGAGAATATAGGATATAAATATATATGAATTATACTTAAACTGAAGTTCAACGTGGGGGTCATTCACCTGTAGGAGTGGTGGAGACTCGATCCTCTGATCTTTGAAGGAAGTCGCGGCCTATATGTATGTTCATGGATTTATATATGTGGTGGGAAAAGCGCTAAGAGAGCACAGGAAGATTAGCCAGTGTGAATATTATTGGGATGACGTTTCAAGCTGTTGAGAGCTTTATCACGGTCATCCAATCGCGTGAGATGAAGCCGGTGAGCTCTTCATCCAAGGAATATAACCTATTCTCCCTTTCCTTGCATCGATCCTGACTGCCTCTCATTTCCCAGTCTGGGACGTTGTTCCAGATAGAACAATGTTTTTGAGGGGTTATCCCAGGTTCTCTACACATATGCTGCTATGTATGATAATCTATGTAATTGTATTTGTGTATGCCTGAATAAACTTACTATGGAACAAACCTGTTCTCCAGGCTGAGGGACTAACCACCTCAAAACTACGTCTTCAAGGGTGATGGACTGATTACATCGTCTTTACATCTCTACTGCTTCTGCTGTCTCCTCTGTACCCGACTGAAGAAATCTACTCTGTGTGTTGTGTTATATTTTCTTTCGTGCTGTGTGTGGACAGTGGATTAGCTAACACCGTGATATAGTTTGTTATAAGATACAGCGATTTTATAAAATATTCTAAATCCAATTCAAAACAATAATATCAGAGAAATACACATTCGTCATCTAATGAGACTTTCAATCACAACTCACATTATTGCTATGCTATTGTTCCTAAAAGCCGACATCTAAGGGGTTTTCTCTTCTGTGACGACGATGATGATGCCCTAAGATAAATCACGAATGCGATTGTTTTCATATTGGAACTCTGGTCTTCCAGCGACCAGCATTCAATGACATTGGTTTCCCAGTGGCCAGCACCGAGATGATGATTCTCAAGTAAGCGTAACTCAGGCCATTTTCCAATGAAATAGTTGAAGCTCCCGTAGCTATCGAACCCAAAATAGAATGCTGAAGTTTCCCAGGTCAGGCTGACGCATTTCATTACCTCATGTATGAAATCCATCATGAATGGGAAAACAGCTAACTTTTGTTCCCACAATTTAACTGTCATATACAGTAAGGAAGCTGCGCACCGCAGATGAAGTAATATATCAAATGAACAATATAAACATTAAAAGAGCATACCAAGGAGAGTATGCTACCACAGACTGAGGCAAACAAGTACTAACTACATGTTCCACTGGACCGGGTTGACTAGAAAAAAAAATAAATCTAATATACAGACTCTACAAAAATCTTAAATTTATCCGATTTTGTGCTTTCACTACGATTTTAACGCTATTAACACTTTACATGTAGTATAGTCTCAGCATAAAATTAATATATTATAACAAACAAAGTCCTGTTTGTATCTATATTTTAACACTAAGATTGAGTCCAGTCACCGGCTGAGGCAGCTTCCTAATATCAGTACTTGTGTGGACATCCAAGTCTGGAAACTGAAATAGTGCTTGAGTTGAAAGAGGGAAGAGGAGGAATCGGATGAGAAAGAGGGAATAGGAGGAGAAGGAAGGAAGGAAGGAAAGAGGAGGAGGAGGAGGAGGAGGGAAACAAGATGGGCGGAGAACTAGAAGGAAGATGATAGGAATGGAGAAAATGGGATGAAAACTAGGAAAAGGGAAGGGGGGAATAAAGCTACGTATTGCTGAAAGAGGCAGGTGATTAAAACAAACAAATGAATAAGATGAGAAAAGAAGAATAAAACAAAGGAATGTATGTGAGCATGATAGAAGGTGGTGAGAGGAATGTATCTGTATATTCTAGTCTACTTTCTACTTTGGGAATATGGGATGATAGGGAGTGAGGGAGGGCTAGACCGTGCTTGCTGGGGAGGACAGGTGAAGGGTGCTGGTAACGGGGAGTGGGTACGGGGTTTTAGGGGGAGGGTAGGGGTACATGGGCCCTGGTTACCTGAGGGGGCTTACAGGGTGAAGGCATAACAGATGATTGCCGTATTTCGGATTTTGAGACATTTACGCTACAGAATTAGTTGTGTGTATCTAAGAATCAAGATATCGTGCATGAGACTGAGGGCGTGCACGGCAAGACACACGGCAAGACACACGGCAAGACACTGGTATTTTACACGTATATAGATTACAAAAAAATATTGTGAGCAGGGGAGCAGCAGGACCCTTGCCTGGGTAAGGATGCCTATGCCTTCCACGCTAGAAAAACACAGCTCGCCCCATTTCATGAGTCAGTATCAGGACAACCTCAGCGCCGTCAGCAGCAGTACAGCTCCTGTGTATCCCATCCCGTAGGTGCTCTTTTGATCAAAAGTTGTAATGGGAGTGAGTAACAGGTTTAAGCTCTAGCTACTGATCGTGAGTCATATGCATAAGAGTACAGCCAGGGGACATATGTAGCAGAGCAAGTCTTTCCGAGACAAAATTTCGCTCTTTGAATAACTTTTTCAAGTCATCAAGTGACTTGAAGAAACTCTCCGTAGAGTGAAACGTTGCCAATCAAAGGCTTATTTTTCTTTCTGCTTTCGGTGTCTATAAGGTTACAATAATGTTACATGGGAAAGACAGGTAGAAAGAGATTTGGAAATCCACACCGAGGCAATCTGCTGAAAAGAACTATATACTTCTACGTAGATTGAGGACTATCATGTATTACCTACAGTAGATAAGCGAGTCTAGGATAGAAAAGTAGAGCCTCCTGTAGCCTCGTAGCCTCAGAGTAATTGGAGCCTCCAATTCTGAAAATCAGTACAAGAAAGGCGTTCATATATTTTGCTTCAAAAGAATCCTTTGTATTAGACTGGGATATTGTTCATCTAATGTTATGTGGTATTTGTATTGTTTGTATAATCAGGGAATGATAGGGGAATTGTATTATGATTAATTGTTGATTGCTACATGATAAAGGAATGATTATAGAAGTAATGTTTGCTTAATTATGCATGATGCGCTTAGGATCATGTATAATTAATGTATGTTTATCTTATTAACCGTGTATGACAACTGCTACTATGTGAGATGATGCTGTTACTACATATTCTCATGTGTAAATCGATGCTG